AATTTTATCAGTGCACACACTTTTTTGAAGCGGACTTTCAGGTTGTTTTGTGGCTGTTGTTGATCATACTGGAACGCTTCATAGATCAGAAGCTCTTGTTCAACGTGGACCTAGAAAACAATGAAAATGTAGATTTTTTTTACTATGGTTTGTTACATCTGGTGAATGATTAATATGACACAGCAGAAGTGACTGTAGAGTGTTGGGAGGTGAAGAAGAGTTTTCCAACACAACATCTGACTTTAGTACTGAAAACTGTAAAAACTCACCAGCAAATATGGTTTACTGTGATTGTTGCCAAGTGAAACCAAAGCCACTTCTTTGACTAATGGAATCTCTCCTTGACGGGTGACTTCTTCTTTTTTACCCTCCCCCTGTGTTGCCGATTGGCCAGAGGAACTGTCCACCAGCACCCTTTGGCCCACTGGGAAGTTCTTCACCAGGAACACCAAGCGCCAGTCTGGCAGCTGATAAATCTGTTCAAATAACCAGCAGTCAAAATGAGTGAACGCGGAAATAAGCCCTAATGTTCTTCTGATTCGTTACTGTACATACTGATCATGTGTTATTTTCAAGTTCAGTTTTATTGTATGTTCACACAAACTGTAACAAACTGCAAGTCAACATCCAGGAAAAAACTGTAACTGGCCGTGAACCACAGATCAATCTGTTAAGTGATTAAATAATAAGTCTCTTGTGTGTTTCTTCAAAGTCATGCTAGAGTTGTACAACTGTGTTAAGATTACAAAGTGTAGCACACCTTTAAGCTAATTTAAAATAAAATCAAGCTGCGCACTACAACACCTCAGAATTGTATCATGCATCGGAGATGAGTCTCCATCAGCTCAGTCACCGCTCTTTGGAAACAACTGAAACTTTCCAAAAACATTGTTTACTTTGTTGTGAAAGTAGCATCTCAGACACATTGCTGGCTGCTTTTTGTCCATCAAGTGTCACAACTACTAAACTAAAGTGAAATGTACTTTCACTGAAAACAATTTATACCTTTGTTGCTATAGTTTATAAAGTAGCCAGCAATACCTAGAAGCTGCAGAGCATCATGTCAACTTCAAACCCTCTAAAACCTCCCTGCTTTTTAGCTTTTTTAGATTTTTTTAAGCAGCTTGCTAGCTTATTTCTACCCTCCAACAGCACCTGATAAATCCTTTTTCCCGGGGAAACAATGTTTGCTTGGGAGTAGAATAACACAGATCACTTTAACCAAACTAATTTGGAAATTGCTGCTAATTATGTCTGATTTAACAGTGTGCAGTACACAATGTCAACATACTGAAAGATCAAACACTCATATTACCAATAACAGCTTAGCTGAGGCCAAGAGTCTTTTAACTGCATAAAAATCACTGACAAAGGAAGATGCAGCCATTAGTCCAATTACCTCTCACCTCAAGAAAACCAACAGAAAAAGCAAGTTACGTAAACAATCAGGACCAACTGTGGAGGGGAGCTTTAAAAGGCTGCCCCGAAGCTGATTATTCACGGTTTTAGATGAAGACTGAACTCAGATTTCTCAATCAAACATTTCTTGATCCATGTGACAGAATGTGATGAGATTGTGGTTAAACTAATGAGAATAGCTAAAACCTGAGGTGGTTTGATATTCTCCTTTAGCGCCAATTAGGGCTTAGTGACATGGAGTTTTCTACCTTCTATCTGAGTTCCCTCAGAAAAGTCTTGCCAGTGTTTGAAGCTCTCCCACTCTCCCTCTGTTTGTAATATGAGGAAACACTGTAAATAAGAACTTATCTTCTTCAAAGCGTCCAGACGTCTTTGAGGAAAAAAAAAGTGAAAAATATTCAGTCTAGTCTGTGTGACTGTGCAGTTTTATTAGTTTGAATGTACACTAAACAACTGCAGTCACAAAATAACACAAACTGACAGAGGTCGCAGTAGATGAAGTTTCTAGTGGAGTGTGACGGCTTCACTTCGTTGTCTGAAAGAGCTTTCTGATGCCAGCAGAAGTGGTGAAAATGTTCTAAGATAGCAAACACTTGAAACCTTATTGATTCTTTTAGGTGTTTACAATCAGTGTGCTGCTGATTGTGTCCACAGCAGAAAATCACTTTAGTTTGTGTGCAGGTCGTTACTGTAGGGAACACACTGACTGTCCACAAGGACCTGATACAATCCCACTTCAGAGAAAATGAACCCTCCCCAGCTGAGTGCAGACGTTTTACCCAGTGCATTGATCATAACTTTAAAAAAAAAACATCAAAAAGAAATACACGCTTTTAAATGTGACTTTAAATTACATCTCTCTTATGAAAGTTCTAAAAGCATCTTACATGTTTGTTTTTTCATTGTAAATAGAATAAATGGTGAATCCGCATTCAGTAGATTCCAGTAAACAACTATCACCATACCTCCATCACTCCATTCTCCCTGATGATCATGCACCAATGGGTTGGCTCTGCTTTGCTCGAGGTCGCCTCGCTCCCAGACGTTGTCGGTGCCACAAAGCTGCGGTTCATATCTTCCTTGGCAGGCGTTGCACTCGCATTCGAGTCTCCGTACAGCATTTCCTCCTCGTCATCCACTGTGTTGCTGCACACGCATTTAATAACAGTCAGCAGTGTGAAAACTGGCTGAAGGCGTCAGTGAGGAGGCGAACTGAACTCTTACCTCATGTCATGGATGATGGTCTCTGCTTCCGACTGACTCCTGATGGTGTCCTCTTTGATGGAGCAGCTCACTTTGTTTTCTGTTGTAAACATTCCGCTCACGTCTCGGTAGGCGCACAGTGTGATGACACGCGATTGCTGTTAAATCAGAAACCAGTTTAACCAAGGTTAATACTGCTGAGAACCATATAAAAGCGTTTTGCAAATCCAGTTTCCATAAGAGAAAGACCGTCATGAACGCTGCCAATATGAAAGAAGTGAAACTGAGTCGGCCAACTCTGCTGGGTGAGCTTCACTGTGGCCAGCAGGGGGTGTGTTTGTTTTTGTGAACACCGGTCACTCACGCTGGGAATCTGTGGTTTCTGCAGTGTCAGTCGGTGCATCTTCCCCATGTACGAGTCAGACTTCAGCACAAACATGGTGACCACTCCCTCAGCAGTCATGATAACCACATATGGGTCAGCCACAGAGCAATGCACTATGGGAGAACCCAGGTCCACGGGGATGAAGTGGAGCTGTCTCACTGACAGAAAAAGTAAAAAAAAAAAAAAATTGTTAAAGGTATCACTCAAATGATGAACCAAAACAAACACACACACTAAAATAACGCTTTTAAAACACAACAACTTGTTTTACTTTATTTAATGAGGTTTTTGTTTAACAGCTTCCAGCTGCAATTATTCAAAGCTAAGGACAAAAGTTACAAAATAAATAAACCAACTAATTGTACCTCCTTCCAGCAGACGAAGGCCCATGGGGGAGACCTGAATGATGTACTTATTGTCCCCAATGTTCCCAGCATACACAGTGGGTCCCTGAGTTGCAAAACCACTGGTATCCAGCTCCATGATCTCCTGACCTGTTTGAAGGATCTTCAGGAAAACGCAAAGATGCTTACATCCAACTTCAAAAGCAGAGGTGAAATAATAAACAGTCTACAAGATCAAGCAGCACCTTCAGGCACTGAAAAATAAAGCCAAACTTTGAATTCCCTTTAATAGTCACTACCACAGACTGTATATGAGGATAAACACGTCGGTTTTGATTTCCATATTTTGGAAAGCTCTGGTTTACTGCTGTTCTTATTTTAAAGCCAAAAGCCAGTTTATTTGGCTTAGAGGGGTAAGTGCTAAGCTATCAACTAACACTATCAAGCTTGGTTAGCAAGCTGCATCCATGAACTGTGCATGAACACACAGATATACATGTCTACTCAATGCTAAGATCCTTTCATTGGAGTCAGTGAACTGGACCTCTTCGCTATGTGTGTGCTTGTGGTGCCTTTTGGAGCATTTGAACAGATTTGTCTAACATGTAATTTGCCTTGTT